GCACTCATGAATGGTGTAGCAAACCTGTTGCTATGCCTAACTCCTTAGACAATCTTACAAGCCAACTCATGACAATCTTATTTCATACTTACTTCCAACGTATGATCGACTGTGGATAGTTTGAATAATAATAATCATAATTATTCTAGAAGTCAAAACATGCAAAGTGAAACACAAGAATAATATTAATCCTATATGGCCCCAAAACTTGTGAGCGTAAATAAAACGCCTTTTATTTAATCACCATATTGATTACTCATTATTCATTGTATAATGTTTCGATTGATCAACTTAATACTTGAATTAAAACAATAGCTATCCCATGCTCCAAGCATTCACACTATGTTTACCTATGGTCCTTACTTTGTGAAATAAATCAATTTGATTTCCAATTAAACTCGTTTCACAATTCCAAATCTTTAAGTGTAAGAATACCAAATTTTTGTCACTATTAGAATGTGTTAGTTCTAAACTATTATGAAAAGATTCCTTTTGTGATGTCTTGGTACCAAAAGTCACAGAGACTTGACTAACGGTATTACAAAGTATTCCTTTGGAGATTGTTACAAGACAATTCCATGGAGATGAAGTCTCAAATTCAAAGTACATTCCTTTGAACACCATTCTCTGCATAAAAGTTTCTAACTTACTTATAGATTCTTAATATCCAACTCCCATTATGGAAACATTTCCATATTTGCCACATGACAACTCATTGTTAATAGAATCCTGTCTATTCATAATAATGTCAATATGGTCCATCCATTACTATACTTCCAACTATCCATAAGAAACCAATCTTTGGTGAACCTTGGATTGTTCTTAGCAGATGTTTAATAACTTTAGTCATGTCCGGTTCTAGTCCTTTTTCCTTCTTAATGCCCTAGGCATTTGGAAAATTAGAACACATGAATATTATAACATATGCAATCGACCCTATATTCGAAGCATATAGGACACGATTCATAATGTCTTACATAAAGACATGATACTTGATCAGTCTTTTGCTATAATATTTCTATTTGTCATGTTCTCACAATTCGAACTATGAAGAGGGATGTCGTAATCATAATCGAATTTTGAGAATACAATTAACATTTGCATATATAGAATTTCCTTATGTCAAATATTTTCAACATAACATTCATATATGTCTTTGACTAAATTTGATAATCTCAATCTAAGCTTTTAGAATTGAAAAATGAAGTATAAGTTCATCTCCCTTAATTATAGCAAAACAACTTTTTCCAACCCTGCAACTTTGCGAATTGAAAACTTTATTTTCTATAATTAACATTGCTAACTTGCAACACTTACCATAATAATTATGCCCCCACTAGCATAATAACTATTATCTTACTGACATAACACTTATGCTCCCACTAGCTTTGACATGTATCCAAAATCAGTTGGACTTCTAGAAATAAGTACTTATTGACTTTCTTACCAAAGTTCAAATTTCTGATACGAGATGCTTCGATAAGTC